CTGGCCGCTCCCGGCCACTGCAGCCTCGACCTGCTGGGCTCTGGCGATCCTTCCGCCTCAGCCTTCCAAGTAGTTGGAACTACAGGTGTGCACTACCACGCCCGGCTCATTTTTTATTTATTGTAGAGATGAGGTCTCGCCAAGTTGCCCAGGCGGGTCTCGAACCCGTGGGCTCAGGCAATCCACTCATCTCAGCCTCCCAAAGCGCTGGGATTACAGGCTGAGCCACCAAGCCCGGCTTAATGCTTTCTTTAGTAATGATATTCACGCAGATTGTCAAGACCAGTTCCCATTCACCTTGAAAGGAAGACAATGGACATTTGTGGTGCTGCTGATGGTGTATTTGCACAGCCCTACAATATGTCACGGCATGGTCACTCAAGACTTGGAAAGTTGGAGGCCCCCTGAACCAGTGTCTCTATTTCTATATGATATCATCTATGTAGATGATGTCATGCTAACTTCCGATTCTCTTACGGACCTAGAGTAGGCAGCACCTCAGCTGAATGAACATTTGCAGGGGAAAGGACCATCTGCTGTTATTGACAAGATCCAGACACCCCCACCCCACTTGCCCAACACCATCCAAATAGCTGCAGGAAGTCTGGGGCTTCCTGGGGCATTGGAGGGCATTTATTCCACATTTAGTGCAGATTATATAGCACTTACATAGAGTAACCCAAAGGATCCCAATGGGACTGGACTGAGGAGTGCCAACAGGTATTCAGTGCTGCCAAAAGTACTGCGGGTGCCACCCAGGCACTGGACATTCTAAACCAATTCCTTCCCTGTGAATGGGATATAAATGTTATCTGGGAAGGATACATTTGGAGGTTTTGGCTGCGACAAGGTAACACTCGACTTCCCACTGGCTTTTGGTCACAGTCCTGGAAAGATACTGAAGTCTGCTGGCTACATTGCAAAATGAAACATGCTGGATAGAAAACACTGTGGGAATTTACAAAAGCTTGGGGGCTTACCGTCAAATACTCTGATGTGGTGACTGCTTGCAATGATTGCTCTGTACTGCTGAGAGTATCTGTGGAAACTGCCAGCAAAAGGTGGACACATCAGATGGGGTCGTAGGTCTTTGATCTGCTCTCACTTGTGTTGATATCACTACAGGATTATTGTAGGCCTTCCCTAGCAAGCAAGAGATGTGGCGCTCAACCAACAGAGGACTGTCACAGGTCCTGGTAGCATATGGCACCCGTGAAATCATCAAAAGCAACCAGGGAGCGCACTTTACTGGACATCAAATGCAATAAAAGACTGAGCGGCTGCCTGTTCGCCTATCCTACAATCCCACGGCCACCAGCCTAATAGAAAGATACAATGGCATGCTAAAGGACACCATGATTATATCAATAGATGCAGAAAAAGCATTTGACAAAATCCAACACCCATTCATGATGAAGTCTCCCAGCAAATCAAAAACAGAGGAGAAATGCATCAACTTGTGAAAGATAATGTCAAGAAGATGAGAAAGCAAGCCACAGCCTAAGATAAAATGTTTGCAAAAGACTTATCTGATACAAGACTGTTATTCAAAACATACAAAGAACTCTTAGAACTCAAAAATAAGAAAATGAACAACCTGGTTAAAAAAATGGGCAAAAAATTTGAAAAGACACCTCAACAAAGAAGACAAATATAGCAAATAAGCATGTAAAAAGATGCTCAACATCATGTCATTAGGAATTTGCAAATTAAAATAACAATGACTACACATCTATTACAATAGCAAATATCCAAACCACTGACATCACCAATTGCTGGTAAGGATGTAGCAAAACAGGAATTCTCATTCACTTCTAGTGGAAATATAAAATCGCATAGCCACTTTGGAAGACAGCTTGGCAGTTTCTCACAAAACTAAACACTCTTTCCATATGATCCAGCAATCATGCTCCTTGAAATTTACGAAGATGAGTTGAAAATCTATATGCACACAAAAACCTGCATTTGCATGTTTATACCAGCTTTGTTCATAATTGTTCAAACTTGAAAACATCCCAGATGCCCTACAGTAGGTGAATGAATTAACTGTGGTACATACAGAAAATGGACTAATATTCAGCACTAAAAAGAAATGAACTAACAAGTCCTGAAAGCACATGGGAAACCTTAAATGCATATTATTACCAAGTGAAAGAAGCCAATCTGAAAAGGCTATCCAGTTGGCCCTCTGAATCGGTGGGTTCTGCATCCAACCAATTGTGGGCCGAAAATATTCAGAAAAAATCCAATTAAAAATAACAATATAGGCCAGACACGATGGCTCATGCCTATAATCTCAGCATTTTGGGAGGCTGAGGTGAGAGGATTGCCTGAGCCTAAGGGTTCAAGAACAGTCTGGGTAACTTAACTCATCTCTACAATAAATCAAAAAATTAGTCGGGTGTGGTGGTGCTTGCCTGTAGCTCTAGCTACTTGGAAGGCTGAGGCGGAAGGATCACCTGAGCCCAGCAGGTCAAGGCTGCAGTGGCCGTGAGCGTGCCACTGCATTCCAGCCTGGGTGACAGAGTGAGACTCTAACTCAAAAAAAAAAAAAAAGAAGTAGAACCATCTCTGTTCAGAAACAACATGATATTGTATATAGAAAATCCTAAGGAATGCAATAAAAAAACTATTAGGACTAATTAAAGTGTTCAGTAAAGTTCAGAATACAAGATCAATATACACATACAAAAAAAAACAATATAACAGAAATAATACAGTTTAAAAACAACACAGTATAACAACCATTTACATAAGTTACATTGTATGAGGCTCTAAATAATTTATAGATGACTTAAAGTATGCAGGAGGATGTTTATGTGCAAATACTACACCATTTTATATCAGGAACTTGAGCATCCTCAAATTTTGATATCCATGAGAAGTCCTGGAACTGTTCCCCCATGGACACTGAAGGAAGACTGTATATGAAGTGATTCCAAGTATATGGCATTCTGGAAATGGCAAAACTACAGAGATAGGAAAAAGATCAAGGGGAACCAGGGGGTAGGGAGAGGAAGGGATGACCAGGCGGAGCACAGAGCAGTGAAACTAGTCTGTATGATACAGTAAGCTCTCACTTTACGTTGTCAATAGGTTCTTGAAAACTGTGACTTCAAGCAAAATGACCAGTTTTAGTTTTACCACAGGCTCATTGATATAAACAAGAGTTAAGTTCCTACAGCATGTTTCTGGTCATGAAAACATCACCAAACTTCTAATAAAGACTTAAACACTTCTAATATTAAATATTAAAATAAATGTGAGTTATACATACATTTAAGAATTATTATTATTATTATTTTTTGAGTTGGAGTCTCACTCTGTCACCCAGATTGGAGTGCAGTGGCTGGTCCCGGCCACCGCAGCCTCGACCCGCTGGGCTCCGGCGATCCTTCCGCCTCAGCCTTCCAAGTAGCTGGAGCTACAGGTGCGCGCCACCATGCCTGGCTCAGTTTTTGATTTATTGTAGAGATGAGGTCTTGCCAAGTTACCCAGGCAGGTCTCGAACCCGCGGGCTCAGGCAATCCACTCACCTTGGCCTCCCAAAGTGCTAGGGATTACAGGCTGAGCCACCGAGCCCGGCCATTTAAGAATTATCAATAAAACAGGTAAGATAATTATTTACCCAATTTTTAGTAAAACAGTGACAGCGGTCACAGTGAAAATTGTAAGGAGCCCCTCTTTCCACCACACAGTTCAAAAACAAACAATAACCCATGTGGTGGGTTGGCTGACAGCTTTCTTACTGCATTGTTTGTTTCATGAATTTGTATGATTATTGTAGACTTTACACATTTTTATTTTACAATAATTTTTATTCATTCACTCATTCATTCATTCTCCAATCCACTTATTCTGTTGAGGGTCGCAGGTGGCTGGAGCCTATCCCTGCAGCTCAGGGTTCAAGGGAGGAACCCACCCTAGATAGGATACCATTCCATGGCAGGGCACAATCACACACACCCACTCCCTCTCAAACTGGGACAATGTAGACATGCTAGCTCACCTCCTGTACACACCTTTGGCATATGGGAGGAAACTAGATACTGGAAGAAAACCCACCCAGACATCAGGAGGATGTGCCAAAGCCAGACAGTGGCCCTGGGTAGAAATCCATTTTTTTTCTTTATATGACAAAAGGATGTTGAATGAAACAACATTATCTGAGAACCTGCTGTACCATAATGATGGTACACAAATGTGGTTCTACATTTGTCACACCTATAGACTGTACAGCGTCATGTAAACTGTGAACTCTGGGTGATAATAATGTGTCAATGAAGATTTACCACTTGTAACAAATACACCAGTTTGGTGTGGAATATTGATAGTGGGGGTGGGACGGGTGGTGGAGGGTATAGGGGAACTCTGTACTTTTTGGTTAATTTGGTTGTGAACCTAAAACTGCTTTTAAAAGTAAAATTTATGTTTTTATAAACAGGTAAGAACTGTGTAACAATAGATACCTAAATTCATGATTTTTTCTTAACCCAGTAATGTCAGATTAAGCATTGACAAGCCTAACGTTGAGTCTTATGAGTCTAAAAAAAATTATATGGGACTAAAACCCTGCTAGGCACAGTAATCACTTCTACCCCTGCTAGAAAAACTAGCAAGATTGGTTTTCCAAAGATTTCTTGGTCATTCAATCAATTAAAAAGATTTTAAAGATAAACTCTGCTCCCAGTATAAGGCCCCACAGCTAAAGGTTAAATTAAGATACCAGCTTGGGCAACACAGCAAGACCAACCATCTCTAAAAAAAAAACAAAGTTAGTGGGGTGAGGTGGTCCATGCCAGTAGTCCCAGCTACTTGGGAGGCTGAGGTGGGAGAATTACTTAGGGCCATGAGTTTGAGGCTGTAGTGAGCTATGATCTTGCCACTGCACACCAACGTGGACGACACAGTGAGATCACATCTCTAAAAAAAAGATACTGTAGTTGGAAAGTTGTGTTTCTTACCTTCCTTGGGGCACTGCACATCATGTGCTATTTTATTAATGACAAGTTTAAAATCATTCCTTAGCAAAATATGCATCAAGGTTGAAGCTGGCATCTCGCTGCCATCTGAAAGAAAAATACAATGCAAAAATATATCTTTGTTTTAGAGCAGTAGAAACACATAGAAAATTACTAACCAGGTCTTTGCAATATAGCAGTGGACATTTCTTTGTCTTTCGGGGAGGGAGGGGCAAAACCCAGACCTCATTCCCTTTGAGGGGGCTCTCTTCTGTTGCTCTACATCCCATTTCATTGGACCGAATGGAATAGACCAGCACTCCCTCTCCCACCCTCTGTCAGCTGGGCTGGAATCCAGGTTAATGCCTCTGGTGAAGCTATGTAGAAGGTCACTCAAAGATTCAGGGGAGGTGGGAACTCTTTAAAACAAGGCCGGAGCAATGAAGGGGGCACTGTTGGGAGTGGCACAGTGTAAGCAGCAGAGCCCATCAGGTGGTCCCTGAGCTAATCTGGTCTCTGCTCCTGCCTTTTCCCACTTCCGGCTCTCTTCTGAGCTTGGTGTCTGCCACTTCCAATATGATAGCCTGTTGACTCTGAGGCAGGTTAGCGTATGTAGTTTAAAGATAGATAGATGAGTTTCTTGCAGGCAGGCCTACATTAAAATAGAGTAAGAGTTCAGACATCTTTGTTTTCCATACCCGACCTTCACCCGACTGACCAGGCACACCAGATAACTCTGCGGGTTGTAAATTGGAACTACCAGTCCGGTAAGTCACAGAAGCAATAGGAAATTACCCAAAACATAGACATGATGTTCTAAGAAAAGCACAAATGGAAGTCACTTCCATTATTTAGACAGTCCTTGTGACCTTAAAAGGTTGAGAGATGGTACTCGAAACTTGTGATCAGATACCTATAGCCCTTTGCTCTTACCTCACCGTTTCCTTAATTATTGTTGTAAAAATATATAAAGCTTCTTGTCCAAGGCAAACATGTGCCCTTTTTCTTAAGGCACTCAAGCGTTTTCTTTTTTTTTAAATTAAATTTTACTTTATTAAAGAGATGTGGGTTACAAGTAAGGATTAGCTATACAAGCAGGTTGCATGTAGGTGAAGTTTGGCCTCCAAATGGTCCTCACTTTGGCTACACTCAAACAGAGTTACTTTAGCTACATGAACATGTGTGATGACAGAGACACCACTAGTAAAATCAGGAAGAACTTAACTGCCAGCCTCCTGTCTTCTTCTCTGTAGTTCTTTTGTTCCAGAAAGCACCAGATTGGGTCTGCACCTAGAATTTGGCTATTTGGGTTCCTGTTCATCAGTTGGGGTGAGATCATATTCTAGCGAATTGCCAAATAATTCAACCCACACAATGGGCAAAACTGTGACAAGCTTAGAACACTCTTTTCAAGCCCAAATTAAATACAGGCAAATTCCACCCACAGAGTCTCTTAAGAAAAAAAAAAAAAATCAGCAACATACCAATGGTTTTATCTTGCCAAGTGTTATTTCAGCTCCTAAAATATTACTATAAAAAGAAATCAACTGAATATAATTTTTCAGTTTATACAAATGTATGAATAGCAAAAGATTGATATGAAACATTTTTAAGGCACTAGTGACACAATGTTGAATTTTTCATGTATTCTTGGGTAAGTGTCAATTTAAACCCCTAATACAATGCTTTCACCCAGTCTAAAGAGCCTCTTTTCCCTAGGACTTCTGGTCTCTTTATTTGTGCTTTCTGTTTAAAGCTACAAAAATTACTTTTAGAAATAAACAGGGTAAACACCAATCACTCTTCTAATCTCCCTTGTTTCATTCACTTAAATATTTATTGAGTACATACCATAGGGCAAGTACTGCTCAGTTTATGGGCAGCCAGCATTTCTCAGCTGGGGGATGGGGGCGCATGTCTTAGGTCTACTTCAAGGATGAAACAGCAGGAAGCCCATTGTGCCACAGGACTAAAATCTTATTCTCTGATCCAGGTTTTAGAAGGAAGAAAGCCCCCTGTCCAGTTAAATCTATAGGCTTTACAATAACCGATGACCAGTCTTTCCCGATCTGCCCCTCTCCACCTCTCACACTCTTCCCTCTCCTGCCTAGCTCGCTCCTTTGCGGCCAGACTGGAGTCAGCTCCTACCTCAAGGCCTCTGCGTCCAGGGCACTCCAGCCCTCTGCACGTGTCTTCGCTCACCTCCTCCAGGTCTTTGCTCAGAGGTGACCTTAGCAAGCCCACCCTGCCCCCACACATTCCCTTGCCCTACTCTGCTTTTCTTTCTGCATAACATTTATTACCTAACATAACTCTGACTTTATTTACCTTGTTTCCTTCTCTTTCTAAATGTAAGCTCCACAAGGGCAGAATTTTTTATCCTTTTTGCTCTTTGCTCTACTCCTAGCATCAAGAACAGTACCTGACATATGTTAGATGCTCAATAAATATTTGTTGAGTTAATCAATTCTTTAATCTCCATTTTTCCAACTTCGGTATCTATTCCTTAGTTAATTTTGAATTTGAATGGGAAAGAAGAATCTTTATTTCCTTTTCAAAATTGCAACCGTTATCACTCATACTTAAATAAGCATATTTAAGCATTTACTATTATAGTAAAATAATGCAAATTTATTAATTTATCTATATTTGCACCTTCTGTATATTGAACAGGAGTAAAGGATTATTTATTCTATTTTACAGGCAGACCATGAGAACATAAACATTGTATTCTAAATTTAAAATGTCTAAATGATTAAACAGCTCTGCTGGTATTTAAAAAGTATATAGTCTTCCTAAGAACTAGTTCTGTCAAAAATCATACCAGACTATAATTGCTTTATAACAAAGATGAATGAGTTACGTGTATTTTAATTACTCACTAGCTATTTAATCATTGAAATTGCATTTTGTTTTCTAATTATTCAAATTTTGCTGAAAATTACATGCTAATGCCTGTGCCACAAAAATGTTCAAGAAAATTTTTTTGACCGTTTATGAAATAAGTAACTTAAATTTTCACTAGATTTATTCCATTAATTATTATTATTATTGTTTTTTGAGTTGGAGTCTTACTCTGTCACCCAGATTGGAGTGCAGTGGCCGCTCCTGGCCACTGCAGCCTCGACCTGCTGGACTCTGGCGATCCTTCCGCCTCAGCCTTCCAAGTAGCTGGAACTACAGGTGCGCGCTACCATGCCCGACTAATTTTTGATTTATTATAGAGATGAAGTCTTGCCAAGTTGCCCAGGTGAGTCCCGAACCCGCAGGCTCAGGTAATCCACTCACCTCAGCCTCCCAAAGCACTGGGATTATAGGCTGAGCCACTGAGCCCAGTCCATTAATTTTTTTACTCAATAAAGTTAAACAATGTTGCCAGGTGCAGTGGCTCATGGCTGTAATCCCAAGCACTTTGGGAGGCAGAGGAGAGAGGATTGCCTGAGCTCAGAGGTTCGAGACGACCCTGAGCAACATGGCAAAAACTCATCTCTACAATAAATCAAAAAATTAGCCGGGTGTGGTGGCATGTACCTGTGGTTCCAACTACTTGGAAGGCTGAGGCAGAAAGATCACCTGAGTCCAGCAGGTGGAGGCTGCAGTGGCCTTGAGCGTGCTACTGCACTCCTGCCTTGGTGACAGAGTGAGACTCTGACTCAAAAAAAATAAAGTTAAAAAATATCTTACTAGTACTGATATGTAAACATGAAGGATTTATTAAAGGGCAACAATTGATTATCCAATGAATTAAAGAATGTACTTCTTTCTAGAAAACTAAAAAACCAAACAAAGATTTGAAAGAAAAGAGAAAGAAGCCCTGGGACAAAGTTGCAAAATATATATGTACATACCTGCTGTGAGGATGGTGGCGGTTTTGATACCTTTATCTTCATTTTGGAGATCCTGAAGGAATGAGCCAACTGTTGACAACGCTGGTTTAACTACAAATTGACAACGTTCTTTTCTGGATGGCAAAGTAAGTGTTATAAAGGGAAGGCCGTGTCTATAATTAACTGTTATTTCTGCTGAGAAAAAAATAATAAAGGAATGGGTAAAATTTCTTTGGGAAACTTTAAAATACAAAAATTTGAAAAGTAATGATTAAATATGAAATTCATAAGACTCTGAAGTCCTATAAAAATGTGCATAGCTTGTATAGTGTCTTCATTATACAATTTACATAGTCCCTGTCGTTCTGTAACATTTTATTATAGTATGTATCACACAGTTTTATCTGCTTAAAGTCTTTCTAAGGTAAAGAGTTAAGCTCTTGAGGACAGAAACTATTTCTTTTTGTTTTTTATTTTTTTTGAGTTGGAGTCTTACTCTGTTGCCCAGGTTGGAGTGCAGTGGCACTCTCACGGCCACCACAGCCTCTACCTGTTGGCCTCAGGCAATCCTTTTGCCTCAGCTTTCCAAGTAGCCGGAACTACAGGTGCATGCCACCACACCCGGCTAATTTTTTTGATTTATTGTAGACATGCGGTCTCCCCAAGTTGCCCAGGCTGGTCTCCAACCCATGGGCTTAGGCAATCCTCTCGCCTTGGCCTCCCAAAGTGCTGGGATTACAGGCTTGAGCCACAGTGCCTGGCCAGAAACGATTTCTTTTCCATCTCTAACTCCGACTGCTGTGATGGATATTTGACAAAGGACAGCAGAATTATTATGGGAGCACAAAGCAGATGAAATGAACCCAACCAGGGGGATGGGTGGGATGGGGATAGTGCAAGAAAAGGGGGAAGGGAGATGGGATTAATGGTAGTAAATATCTGTCTGGGGACGGGGAGACACCTCTTATCAACAAGGGTGGCTGAACGAAGCATATTTGTATACCTAACCCTTAACTGTACCCCACAATATCATAATAAAAAATATTGATGATAATTTAAAAAAAAGAGAAAAATCTGTTTTGCTAAAAACTCATAGCTGGCTGGGAGCGTGATTCACATCTATAATCCCAGCACTTTGGGAGGCCAAGGCAGGACTGCTTGAGTCCAGGAGTTTAAGACCAGCCTGAGACCCATCTCTACCAAACATTTTAAAAAATAGGAATATTAGCTGGGTTTGGTCGCACACCTATAGTCCCAGCTTAGAAGGCTGAAGTGGAAGGATCATCTGACCCAGGAGGCCAAGGCTGTGGTGACTGTGCCACTGCACTTCAGCCTGGGTGACAGTGAAACTCTGATTCAAAATAAAACAAACAAACACAACACATACACAACTCCCAGTTCTCCCTTTATTTTGAAAAATGGAAAGCAATTAGCATAGGAATCAAAGAAGTGGCAAGAAAGCTTACCATCAGGGGGCACCACTGTACTGTAAAGGTGTGACTGGTAGCATTTCAGATTTCCACACAGCTTCACACACAAAACCTGTGAGAAAGGAAAATTCAAGAATGGGAACGTTGACGTGTCTTTACTAGAAGATTCGTTTAGCTCTTATATGACAAGCACAATGAACAATCCAGCTTCCCACTCATCCCAGGGAAGCCCTCAGAAGAGTCTTCTTCTCTGCTTGCCCACGGCCACACAGGCTGGAGCAGGAGCACACTGTGAAAGGTTCTCAGACTGCGGTGTGAGGCCCCCTGCAAATCCCAGGGTTCTGTGGGAATGTTTAATTCGGTTTTTCCTTTTAGGTCATAATCCAAAACAAATGGATAGAAGCACATATATCCTAGATATGTGCTTCTCAAAGAATCGTCTCCAGCCCAGAAGCGTTCGGCAACCCCCAGGGTGCACTGGAAATGCGAAATCACAGACTCAGCCCTGACTTACTGAGTGAGAATCTGCATTTAACACAATCCCCAGGTAATTCACACGCATGTTAGCATTTGGTAAACACTGCTTTAGAGCTGTGCTGTCCAATAAAGCACAGATCTAGTCACATGTAGCTATTTAAATTAATCAAAATTATGTATCTAAAAATTCACTTCCTCAGTCACTGTTGCCACATTTCAAGAACTCAAAAGCTCCATGTGCCCGGAGGCTATCTTCCTGGAAAGCAAATGGACAGGGATAGAACATTCCCAGCCTCACAGAAAGTTCTACAGGACGGCACTGCTGAGTCTGCAACATTTGAATGGCTACCTCACAATGGGACATGTTTTCAGGACTGCACTGGTGTTTGTGCTTACAATTGTATTGATGCTTTATGAAGGCCAATGAATACCATGGTACACTGTGTGAACAAAGATACTGTGGTAGTAAAAATGAAAGGAACTGAGGAATTGGTTCACAAGCATTTGGAATTCAAAAAAATTTATGCCAGAGCAATTAGTGCCAGAGTCACAACACGGTGGCTGTATCATATTGATCCTGTTTTTTTTTTTTTTTTTA